ATTTTGAAAATTTTTTAAATCTTGATTTATTCAAAAACGTAAGAATAAAAACCGTAAGAATCATACATTTTTTACTTCATATGTTAAAAAAAATGATCAAAATCACTCGATATTGTATGAATTCTATCTTTGAACGAATTGACGGTTTGGTCAAATTGACCAGAAGTACTACAAATGGACAACTAACTCATAAAATGGGTTCTTCTCATCTAGTTCTTGTTGTTGTGCAGCCATTTTAAGATAAGTGAAAGTCTTACCCGACCCAGGTGGTGCAATTAGACCTGTTATACCATTCTGAGCAAATAAGAACTTGTCATGTATGGGTTTTATCTGAGCATTTCTAACTTCCTCTTGTTCTTGTTTAAAACATTCTCAAATTTCTTGTCAATGTCAGCAAACTTTTTTTCTAACATATTTTTAGAAAAATTAAAATTTTTATCTTTTAGAAAATGTCTAGCGATTTCGCTATCTATATTCGAGACAAGCTTTTTGACAGCAAAACATCTGTCGACCATAAAATCTTACATAGTGTAAACAAGAAAGGGGAATTTGTTCTAAAGTTCTGTTTCTGGGAATATGACAAGAACCATAAACATTAGGCAGAGAAGTCTTAAAATTTGTCAATGACAGACTTGTTGACAGAGATGACGCCTCTTGGAGAGATGAAGTCCAACAAAACTTCTTAGAATGCAAAGAGACACATGCGCTGTTCTTGAAGATGAAATAGAAAACAGAATAGAAGAGCTATTAAAGACAAAGAACTTTTACATAAATATAGTTGCGCCAAATTTGACATAACTCCACCAGAAAAAGAAGAAAGAAGAAAAGAAAAGAAAAGAAAGTAGAAGAAGAGAAAAAGAATCTGAACCAGTTCCAGAGAAAAAGAAATTTGACATGTAAAAATAAAATTTTATTTTTAGAACATTTCTGGGTCAATGTCAATGTTCTCTTCCTCTTTAGGAGTAAACACTGGCTTAGACTCTAAAATCTTTTTACCCAATTTACCTTGAACTTCTACAACTTTAGACTCATAATATTCATAGTCGTCTGTCTTCTTTGGTTCATAAGGTATAACAAGTTTGTATGCTTTGCCTTCTTTAAGGTTTGAAAACCTTCTGTCAAAACTTTCTTTGACTGCTAACAAACCTTCTATGTCTAAGTCTTCAAATTTCGCACCATTTTTAGTCACAATAGCAAACTTAACTGGTTCGATGTTCCAAACTTTGCTGAATGAAGACTTTTCCAAAATGGTAGAAGTAAACATTCAATATGTGAATGGTCTAGTTCTTCTTTAAGTCCTGACATGTACTTATTTACTGAGATGAATTTTGCCATCTTTTTCTATCGGATAAAAAAAATATTTTTTTTAAAATTTACTCATAAAAATTTTTCTTTGTATATACACCTTTCTGTACGTCTAAAAGACTTTTGACATTTGCCAAAATGTTCGTTTTAGACGCTGTCATATAACCATATTCTTGACAATATTGTTTATACGAATCGTACAATGACCTTTCATCTAATGACACAAAGTCAGTTTCATCTATGAACAGTTCATAAACACTCTTGTTTGCTTCTAACAATGTTTGTCTCTCTTCGGTATGTGGAATTTGTCTTGGATTGAACTTTGAAATATCTAATGTCATAAAATATGAGAACAAGTGGTTGTAAAAGTCAGATGTCAAAGTTTCTGCTAAGTCGTCAAAATATTCTGTATCTTGCATATGAGAATCTGACGTTCTGACAACTACATATCTTCTGTCAGAACTTTCTAACTTCATCGGAACAGCATTGTTTGAAACCATAATGAAGTTTGCAACATTTTCACAAACTCTTTGGTCTTTATATTTTCTTTTCAACAACTCCAACTTTGTCTGTTATAAGACTCTTCAAAGCATCTGAGTTCAAAACTTTTGTTGTATCTATACTTTGAAGTTCGTTACATACTATAAGTTTCATATTCTCTATTGAGGAGTTAAACTTGCCACAGATGTTTTCTAAGTTTGTCATATTCGGGTTCGAATAGCCCTCTAACAGTTTGCAACAAAATATCTGTAAAGAAAGTATTCTTACCAGTTCCTTGTTTTCCAATTATAATGAGAGCAGTTTTCATTCTTAGCACTTGGATGTTGTAAGATGTTTGCAAACCAACATAAGATATACTCATAGACTCTTTCGTTTCCATTGCATATAATTTCTTTGACATGGTCTAACCAAGCTTCTATAATATTTCTTTCCATTCTACTTGTTCATATTTATATCCAGTGAAGATAGAAAGAAGTTTGGAGAAGGTGTATAGAACTTTATACCTCGAACTGAAAAATCTTCTAACTTTGACAATAAGATATCCCAAGCATCTAACATCTTCATGCCAACTTGTACAACTTTTATTTTCTTAAGTTTCTGTCTACATTCTTGTTCTGAAACTATTGTTGCTTTAGGTTTGTTAAAGACAACATCCCATTCTTTCATAACATAACATTCTGGGGCAGAGTCGACATAAATGACTAAACGTTTCAAATTCTCGACTGCTTTGTTATAGTCTCTAAGTGGACACATATTTCTGAATGCTTGGAAGTCATAAAAATCTGAAACATCTATTCTGTACATTTTTATAAAAATAAAAAAAAAATTTTTTTTATTCTTGACTTTGTTGTTGCATTTGTTGCATTTGTTGTTCTTGAGCTATTTGTTGTTGAAGTTGTTCTTGTAATACAATACTTTCACCAGTTGCATCTTCCAATTCGAAACTTTATGCCGTCATTGACAAATACATAGGACATAAAGTTTTACAGGAACAAAGTTTGCGTCAACTAATGTCAACGTTATATTGCCAAAGTGTTTGAGTTCACTAAGGTTGAAAATTCTGCATTCGAATGAACAATAGGCAAACCAGCAGAGAAAGTATTGTTTATACGCATAAGTATCTTTTGGTCATAATAGTTTCTGTCGACATTCGAATAACACTTTGAACCTAAGTTTGAAACAATATATAAGATTGGTGTGCTTAATGTCAATGGAATAGACATTCCTTGTATGACACCTTTTCCTGTTATAGGAAACTGTTGTAGTAAAAAACCAGAAATAAGTTTTGTATTATAGCTCATATCGTTTATAGTAAACTCAGTCGGACATCCAAACATAATGAAACCTGCTCTAGTTGCAGCACATGTTACACCCGTCCTTAAAGTATTAAATAAGTCAACAAAACCTGTTGGTGGTATATCTGAGTAAGTATCTTCAAAGGAGTATTTTTTACCATTCACAACAATAAAGTCTTCTGGTGTCAAAAGAGCAAAACAGGCTTTAGTCGTCATTGTGTTTAAGGTTAGTTTACAATATCGTCCTTGAGGACTTTGTAAGTTTGTTGTTATAGAATTATATGACTCAGGGTTTTTAGTCGTAATAGTATAAACCATTATATCTTCTGCCATTTATATATATTTAAAAGTTTTTCTGAAAGTGGAGAAGAACTTCATCTAAACTTTCACATGGCGTTTCTTGAAGTTCTCTGTCTAAGAAGTTCAAATATTTTGTAAAGACATAGAACTTTCCTTTGTCTACACGAACAAACAAAACAGGGTCTTTCATATCGTTCAAAAGTGTGTAAAGTCCTTTACATGAAATAAAGTCTATATTATTTTTCTTCAAACATCTTTCAAGAAGTTTTGACATTTTTACTTAGCAAATAAATTTTAATGAAATGTTGTGGTCGTCAAATATTTTTATGACGTCTGGGAAACTATACTTTAAGTTCAACGTTTCACCTCCTTTCATAACGTATATCTTGTCAATGACATTATATGAAACACCACAGCAACTAATGTCGGGTTCTATTTCTTTGATGTTTATATCGTCTGCCTCTGTCAAAAGTTTCAATAGTTCTTTCAAAACTTCATGAGGTGCAATGACATATGAGTTCACTTTTACAGGGTTGTGTTCGACCAAGTTTAACATTATACCTAAAGCTTGACAAATCTTCTCCTGAGTTTGAAGTTTGTCTTTCAGTTGTTGGTAGTCGTTTCGAATATCTGCAACAGAACTTAAGTCTCTGCTAACTTCAGGATATGTTGGTTGTTCTTTTACAGGAACAATTGCTATACCATCTTCGTCTTCGTATGGTTTCCCCACTTCAACATCTCTGTCTTTGACATTGACAATAACACTTTGACTGTTTGTTTGAGTTGGTGAATTTAACTTCACATCTGCCACCGCCATTAAACCTTTTGAAACACTTACGCTTCTATTTTTTCGGAAATGACATTTTACTTAGAATAAAAAGATGGACGTATTCGAGTATCTCTTCGAATTGAAGCAGAACAAAGTTTACACACACAAACAATACAAATACATTGACAGAATAGTTCTTTATACAAACAATGGTAAATGTTATAGAATAGCAGTCTTTGCTGAACCAAAATATTTTCATAAAGCAAAGAAAGTTGGTATAACTGAAATGGTGAAAGTTCTTGACGTTGACAAAATAATAACAACAAAACTTACAGATATTTCTAAAGGTAAGTTTATCTTACAATATTATGTCAAAACAGGTGTCATAACTATTTACGATGGTGAGAAAAGTGTCAAAGAACAACTTACTGACCTGCTGCCAAAATCTGCTCGATGGAAGCTGTCGTTATGCCAATCTGAGGAGCCCCAGCAGGTTTCATCGAACGAATCTTCAAAAGAGCATCTTCCGTGAAAAGTGCTATTGGTTTTGTAAACTTCTTTGCTCTCAGTTCATCTGGACCGTCTCTGTCACCAGTATATTGTATTTGTACAGTACCAACAGTTGAAATACCACCATAAAGTCTTCTGAGTCAGCAAATGGAATGCCAAGCCAAAAGTTTGAACGGTCTCCATTTGTATATTGAGTTTTTTGACCTCCTGTATGAGTCCATACTTTCACATATGGCATAATAGAACTTTGCATTTCAGGGTTAATGGTTGTTGTGAAGTTGTTGTTAAAGTTCATAGCATCTAATATCAAGTTGTATGACCTCATATCCTCAACTGTAGAATATTCTTCTCTTGGATAATATTTGCCATCTATGTTTATATGATATTTAATACCAGGGTTGTAGAAACAAGAATAGTCATTTATAGTTCGTCTGAACAGTACAAACATAGTATCTGCATGTTTCATTGCAGTTGTTAAAGCAATATCTGTTCTTGCACCTGGGTCAGCACTTTGGTTTCCAACTTCACCTGCAAAGTCTTTGACAGATATTTGGTGTATAGGGAACATAAGTGGAACTGCAATATATTTGGCAGCTAAAGCATTTGAAATATCTGGGTCCAACATATAGACTGCAAGTCTGCTTTCTATTCTCTTGCATTCAAACTTTTCGCATGTGAACTTAACTGGGTCCCAAGCAGTTCCAGCAGCATTGAAATAATAGTTTACTTCATTGTTGAAGTTTGAGAAACCAAAGTCTAAGTCAACTTTGTCTTTGCAAAATTCGGCGAATGATGTTTGATTTGTTCCCTTTACGTCTGTAATAGTGAATGGGTCTTGTGTTGGTGCAATGACTAAGTTATTTTTGCTTGGAGTAAGTTCGATAGAAATTTTTCCTGCCCAGTTTGGCAAGTATCTTAAAAACCTGAAGATGAGGAAAGATGACAAAGGAACTCTAAGTTTCAGTTTTACTTTGGTTACTGCTGCTGCAGTTTGTCCAGAAATGTTAACATAAACTCCTGGAACGTTAGGGTCAAGTCTTCTTATTTTCTCAATATTTGCATACTGGTCTGTTTGTTCTCTAGCTTGTGGTTGTACTGAGTTTCTCAAAGCGAACCATTCATAGTTTGCCCATGTTACTGTTTGAACTAAGTCAGAGTTAGAATATATTTTATATCCCATGAAAACTTCTGGAGCATATTGGTATCCGACATAGAAAATTCCATTGCAACCTTTCTTGTCAGACAACTTGGCAGAAGGTTTTATTTCAATGTCTTGTTCCACGTATAAGAATGAGTTGTCAATAGAAATAATATGAAACCTGTCGCAAGCAATATCTACTGTTGTTGAAGAACCTTCTCCAAACTCGCCTACGTTTCCATAAGAAACAGCAGTTGTATATTCGTAAGTTCCAGGAACTATTTCTGACCTTCTAATGGCATTGTCGCATTCGTTATACCATTCGGAAACATTTCCGTTCATGGCATCCAAAACTGTTGGCGTTATATTCTGAGCGGCGTACATTTCATATGGGTAAAAATATAGAATAGTTGGATTTATGTGTCATAATAGAACCCACTCGGACCAAGCTTTACTTTCTTCCTGACTGAGTTTTTAACTCTTCTTTTTCCTTCATTGCCACTACTTTCACTAGATGAAGTTACTTCTTCACTACTTTCACTTTGTTCTACTCTTCTTCTTTGGTGTCGCTTTTGGTAACTTGCCCTCTGCTTCAAGTTGTTGCATCTTTGCCTCATGTTCGCCTAGTATGTTGTAAATTTCCCATGTCCTTTTTGCCTTTGGGCTCTGGTCGCCCATCTCAGGTAACCTATATCCTAGAAAGATTTTGTCATAGTTTGTATTTGAGTCTTCGCGTATTGTTTGCATGACTCTTTCCTGAGTTTCCGGTTCAAGCTCTTCAAACAGAGCTTGTCCATATGGAATAAGCTCGTTTCCAAATATATGTTTTTGTAGCCATTCTGGTTTTCTTTCCATGTTACCAATAATATCTTTTGTGAATGGGAAAGCTTTTACCCAATGTTTCAGTCTTGCGTCATTTATTTCTGTAGTTGGTTTTATTTTGTCAAGGAACATGTTTTTCAATACTAACATTTCATTTGGTACTGTCCATTTGAGTTTTCTTAAATATTCATCCCTTCTCAGTTCATTGTCTGCAAAGTAAGTTTTTATGACATTTTGTAAACTTTCGTTTGCAAGGTCATGTACAATAGGTTCTCTTCCTTCTCTCTCCCTAACTTTCTTTCTAAACTCTTCACCAAATATACCATCTCTATGGTTCTGTGTAGTTCTTTGAGATAAATGTTCTAGAACGTCAGGTGTTATATTTCCATCAGCCATGTTCATTTCATACTGGTCCAAAATATCTGCATGTTTCATATCTTTCAATGGCATTAAAGCCGCGCTGAAAATACCAGCTATATCTGGTTCACCATTCATTTCCATTGCGTCTACAACTTCTTGGAATTGTGGTTGTAAGTTTATGAACCACCTATCCGGATTAGCTTATGACCCCATCTCATTGTAGTTCCATAGTCTGCAGAAACAAAAGTAGGTTTGTTTCCATATTGGTTAGGTTCTGAATGAACTTTAAACAATGTTTCATTTCTATATGTTTTGTTGAAATTTAACCTTTTATTTTCACCGAGTTCAGCCAAAGATTGAACGTTATATGGTCGTAAGTAAAAAGGATTGTTGTATTTGCGTACACTTTCTTTCAGTTCTTCCATTCTATGCTGAATATTTTCATCTGATGTTGGAGTCTTTTGTATGTCGGCGAACATTTTTCGATATTCTTCTACTCTGTCAGCCGAATTTTTCTTAGACTCTTGGAAAGATTCCATATTCACCTCATACTCTTGTTGAGGGTCAAGATTTTTCGGCTGTTCCAAATCTTCATCTAGTTCTGTGAAGTTAGTTTCCAAAGGAGGGACTTGTTCGTTTCCTTCAGGCTCTTCTAGCTGTTGTTGCTGAACTATTTCTTCCATGTCTGGTTGTATCTGAACTTCTTCCTGTGGAGTTTCTTGTACCTCATCTGCTGGCATTTCATATATTCCGAGACCGTTTTTAACAAGTTCCCTATCTAAGTCATCCGGACTCATAAACCTTTCTTCTTTCGTTCCGTCTCTATTTTTTACGCGTTTCATGAAGATAGTTGAATTATCATTTATCTCTGACACCAAATATCTCGGAGTAAATTCATCCATGTCATTTGGATGATATGCTATTAAATCATATCCCTTAGCGAGCTTGTATTTTCCAGGTTTGAAATTATATCCCATTTGGTGCTGAACCATAAAGCTAAATAGGTTCGGGTCAGTATTTCCTTCCTTGAACTTTCTAATAGCTTCTTTATATCTGTCACTAAAGTCAAGAGTATCTGGGTAACCATAATTTTCCTTAAGCATTTTTAAGAATTCTTGGTTTCCTTGTTCTCTACTTCTTTTATGTCCTTGCTCTGTTTGTGGTTGTTGTTGTGCAGTGTTTTGAACTGTTGGTTGTTGTGCTGGATTTTGAACTGTTGGTTGTGGTGCAGTGTTTTGAACTGTTGGTTGTGGTGCAGTGTTTTGAACTGTTGGTTGTTGTGTTGGTTTTGGTGCATGCCTGTGTCTGTGTCCATGTGACGATGTAAATGTTTTAGGTAGTCCTGGTGCAGGTGTTTCTCTTGGAGGGTTTGGTGGTATATAAGTTCCACCAGCTGGCACATATGTTCCATCTGCAGCATAATGTCCTACCTGACTTTTCGTTTTTAAGAAAGCATTTACTAGGTCTGTTTTGGTCTGTTGTAACTCTTTTTCTTGACTTTCCACAACAGTTGCTCTAACAGCGTCATAGGCACTTTGAACTGCCTGTCTCGTTGCTGCATCTGTTATTTTCGTCATATTTTGTGCTACTTCTCTTAACTCGTTGTCGAAACCTTCAGACTTCAGTTTCTTTCCAGATGAGAAGTCGTTCACTAGTTTCACCTTACTATGAAGAGCTTCGAAGGCGTTCTTAAAGTCAGCATTCATTAAAGCTTCATTTGAACTGTCTTCATCCGCTTGTATTTTTGTCCTTATTGACCCTATAAGTTGGGCTGCTTTAGCGTTGGCTTGGGCATCTAACCAGTCATTATTAGCTTTTATATATTCTGCGCTTTTCATTGCCTTTTGCATGGCTGCGTCGTTATTTTTACTTTCTTGTGCTAAGTTTTCATACTGTACTGTTTGGTTTTGCAACTGTAAAAGTTTTTCTGCCTTTACATTTGCTTCAACTTCTTTTTTATACTCATCGCTATCCATATATGTCTTCAGGGCTTTTTGTTTTATCTCTTCATCTTTCAGTACTTTATATTGAGTAGTATGGTTTTTCAAATTTATAACATCTTGTTCCATTTTTGCTACTTCTGCTGCTTTTTCTGACACTTTTTTCGCATATTCCTCTGTACTTAGTTCTTTCAGTTGTTCTTCTTTCTTCTTTTTCTCTACGTTTAACTCATTGAGTTTCTTTGTGTGTCTGTCATATTCTAGTTTCTTTTCGTTTTCACTTATTTGTTTCTGTATGTCTATGTTTGACTTTTTGACATCTGTTATTTGATTTTTGAGTGAACTCAAATTCATTTGACTTTGAGGGTTATAAGCTGTTCCGTCTGCAGCTCCACCATAGCCTGCCATTTTCGCTAAAAGTGCCGCTCTTAAACCTCCACTCTGTGCACCAATAACTCGGTTTAAAAGCATAGGGTTGCTTGACATTTGTTGCAACATAGTGGGGTCATTCATCATTTGTTGTTGCAACTGTTGTTGTGGTGTTAGTTTTACTATTGGATGTTTCAATGCTCCCTTCCTCTTACGTATATTCTTACGTAGCTTACGTGGCATTTTAAGTGAAGTTAAAAAGCGGTTTTTGACAGATGTTTATATGACACTTTTTGTTCAGCACAAAAAACTACTCGGTCAAAGTGTTGTCAGTTTTGTAAAATAACCGTCCTATCTTGTTTTAAAAGGAAGAAAAGGCTTCTCAAAGTATACTTCCGTGGAACGCCTGTAACTTTTCCTGTAGCGACGATAGACCCTTACTTGTCCGGACAAAGTTATACTAAACATCTTCAGGGCTAGAGGGCACGAAGTGCCTGGAGGCCCCACTACCTTTTTTTTTTTTTAAATTCATTTTATTATTGCAATAATGAAATCTTAAAAATTAAATCTGAGAAAATATTTACAACTATTTAATTTTTCAAGTTTCTCTCAAATTTGTATAAGATTCTTTTTTAATATTTTTATAAAATTTAATGTATTTATTTTGTCGTACTTCTAATTTTATATGTATTTTAAAGAGATACCTCTCGATTTTTGATAAACATAATTTTGCGACTTTAGGGAAAAATGAGTGAAAATTGGCGAAACATAATTATATTTGAATATTCAGAACAAGAAAGTTCATTTATAAAATCTGTTCAAATATTTTTCAAAACAAAATGAGAAAAAAAATCGGCATTTAATAAGTTATATGATAATTTATGTGAATTCTCATATACATTCCTTATTTCTGCAGAAAATTACGAAAAAGAAAAATAGATTCATTAAAATGTGTCACCGAAGATTGGAATGACTGATATTCTTATTGTTGATCAACATATTTTAGATAATTTGAGTATATCAATCGGAATTTGACTGCATAAAAATGAAGAAAAGATGATTGATATAACATGTTATTTTCATATAGTTTTGGCGCATATATACTTTCAATAATAATTTCATTCATAAAGTATTTTATAAATTAGTATTAGTCATTTGTTTCTGTAAAAAATGGCAATGTTTTTAAATGAAATTTTCAATTAAATTTCATAATGATGTTTTGAGGTTTTTGGATATAAATTTTATCCATTTATGGTTTTTCAACTGATGCATTATTTTCCTCTTCATCTTTCTTTGAATGCTTTCGTTTGTAAATTATGAAAGCAATAACTCCAATTACTGCGATAAGAAGTAAAGCGCATGTCACTCCTATGACAATAGGAATGGTTTTACTGGTATTTTTTGGCTTTTCATAGTTACCAGTTACTTTATTAAATTTGAGATTAATTGCTTTTCCGCCAATTTTATTATAATTATACTCTGAAGATGTTATTACTTCTTGGCACGATTTGGCGTTTTTAAGGAAATTTCCTTCAAGTTTGTCTGTTCCAAGATATGTGAATTTGCTAATAGAACAATCTTTGAATGCATATGGATCGATATACTTTATATTGTTGGCAATAAAGATTTCAATATCATCTCCTTTAGCAAAAGATTCTGGGATTGTTAAATCATTTATATTTTGGATTATGATATATTTTAATTTTGTAAAATGAGACAAAGATGGCAATGATGTTATTTCTTGAATTTTTCTAATTGATTTTGAATTTGAAATGTTAAATTTAATTGCTTGAACTTTATTTTGGAATCCATTAAAACTTATTAATGTGAATCCCGTAGTTTCATAAACAAGTTCTGTAACTGGACATCCATCAAATGCTTCAGATGAAAGCAAATTTGTGTTATCATTTGTAGTTTTAATTGTAATGTTTGTTAGATTTGGACACTCAGAAAATGCATTTTTTCCAATAAATGAAATATAGGGTGTCCAAAGGTGCGTTTAGCACAGCGCTCTATATGAGACTATTAAAGGAGATATATGCTGATTATAAATATATAATAAAAAATATGAATATATGTATATGATGAGTAAGTTGTATTTTGGCGCCATGCCGGGATATAAAATGAATTTTGAGACAAGAGGCGGTTTCGCGGGAAATTTTGGCGGGATTTTTTTCATTTTTTTAATGAATCATAAAGAAAACATCCTCGCTCTTGCAAAAAAATGCAAAGACTGTAAAAAAATCTACGAGACATTGGTAAAATGCTTCGGTATGGATGCTCCTAGCTATTCCACTGTAACGTATCATGTTAGGATGTATCACTTCATGAACAAAAAGGCGCCCATCATAAAAATTGACAAAAAATCGCCGGATCAAAGAAAAATCAAAGCAATTCTTCAAGCGCTAGATGAAGACCCAAGAGCATCACTCAGAAGGATAGAGGAGATGACAAAGATACCACGTACAACAGTCAGTTATTATCTGCACAATTATTTGAACTACAAACTAGCGTATACACGTTGGGTTCCGCACAACCTTAATTCAGTTCAAAAAAAATCTAGAGTCCAAGCTTCGAAAGAGCTCCTCTCTATATTGGGTGCGTATCAATCCAAGAAGTTTCGCTTTTTAGTAACAGGGGACGAGTCTTGGTTTCAATATGCAACAGAAGCCAAAATCATGTGGATCCCGAAGGATGAAAATCCGCAAACATTCCCGAAGAAAAAAATTGACACACCAATGATGATGTTGTCGGTTTTTTGGGGCGTGAATGGCATCATCGCAATTGATATTCTTCAAAAACCTAATACGATGAATACTCAGTATCTAATTGACAATGTTCTTACTCAAATTATCAATTCTTATGAGTTTGAGAAATCCAAACAACAAAAACAAAAGTTTGCAATTCATTTTGATAATTCAAGAGTTCATAAAAGTCATAAGGTAATGAATTACTTGTTGGAAAACAATGTCAAAGTTGTTCCAAACCCAATTTATTCACCTGATATTGCACCCTCTGACTTTTATTTATTCGGCACGCTAAAAAAGAGAGCTGAAGGACGCGAATTCGCGAGTCCAGATGATCTTGAAAATTTTGTAAGAGAGCAATTTGAGCAATTTTCTCATGATGATTTAAAGCGTGTCTTTCAAGCCTGGATCGATCGCTGCGAACGCGTGATTGAATCCAATGGTGATTATATTTAAATAAACTTTATATATATGTAACTTGTTTATTTCTATTCGCAGTATTCAGGTTTGTGCTAAACACACCTTTGGACACCCTATATTTGCAGTGGAATGAAATCTGAGATCTTTCTTTTCTGACACGTTCACCATATCCATACTGTGCTTGTATTTCTTGTTTAACTCCAAATTTACAAAGATCCATAACAGTAAAGATAGTTTCTTCTTCTAATTCCATTTGAAATTGAAATGAAAATTAAAAATTCAGAAATTTGAATAGATTTGGTCTGTAATTAAATGAGAATAGCAGTTTGTTCGTCATTGTTTGAGGCAAGAGTATTATAGGAATATTATATGATGGATTTGAGTTGCATATAAAGAGTGCAAAAGGATAAAGAGAGAAATTTTGTTAGATTAAATTATTAAATTTTAATTCTTTATTTTTTAGGATTGTTAGCTTTGTAAGATTGCTTTCTCACAAGAGAAAACAAGAATAAGGTTTAAGCTGTATGTATTAAAGTTATAAATATTTGATTTTAAAAAAAATCAAGATTTACTTGTTAGATTGTAACATCCAAAAAATGCTTTTTCTCCGATTGATGAAACACTATTAGGAATTGTTATACTTGAGAGACTAATACATTCAGAAAATGCCTTGTTTCCAATTGATATGACATTATTACCAATTGTTATGCTTTGAAGACTAGAACAATTATCAAATACACTAGATCCAACTGTTGTAACGCTATTTGGAATTACAATAGTTGTGAGATTAATGCATCCATAAAATGCCTCTCTTGCAATTTTTGAGACTTTATTACCGATTATTACATTTGTGAGACTAATGCATTCATAAAATGCATCAACTCCAATTGACGTAACACTGTTACCAATAATTAGACTTGTGAGTCGAGAGCATCCCCAAAATGTGTTTTCTCCAACAAGTTCTACTCTATCTGGAATTGTTATAGATTCAAGACTAGAACATCCATAAAATGCACTTTTTCCAATTGATGTAACACTGTCTGGAATTGTTATAGATTCAAGACTAGAACATTCATAAAATGCAACTTCTCCAATTGATTCAACACTCTTACCAACTGTTATCATTTTGAGTTTAAAACATTGATAAAATGCACTTTCTCCAATTGAAGTAACACTATCAGGAACTGTTATCATTCTGAGATTAGAACAATTATGAAATGCCCCATTTTCAATTGATTTTACCTTATTACCAATTGTTATACTTGCAAGATTTTCACAAAAAGAAAATGTCTCTTCTCCAATTGTGATTACACTATTAGGAATAACTAAAGTTGTGAGACTAGAACATCCTATAAACGAATAATTTCCAATTGATATTACCTTATTACTAATTGTAATACTTACGAGATTTTCACAATAAGAAAATGCCTCTTCTCCAATTGTTATTACACTATTTGGAATTATTAAAGTTGTGAGGTTTGAACATTCGGAAAATGCAGAATTTCCAATTGTTGTAACACCCTCAGGAATTGTTATTCTTTTGAGTTCTTTGCATTGATAAAATTCTTCAGATTCAATTAATGTTGTAGTATTTGGGATTTCATATGAATCTCCTTCAGGACAAGTAGAACTTGAATATGAAAATAAGCAAAACAACATGAATAGAAAATGAAATTAAGAGTCCGATAGAAATTTAGAAAAATTCAATAGTCTTTTAAAAATCATTCTTAGAATTAATCTTTAATTCCTTAGGTACTTAATCTCTATTAAAAAATATTGAATAATATTGTTTTGAACTTCAAATTTTATTTCTGATTATTTTTCGCGATACAGCATTGGGTTGACGTGAAATGCCGTTCCAAAGTAGAAAATGCACTCTAGTACTTGGTTTCTCAAATTACATAACAAAATAAATCCATTTGGATATTATAAATATCATGTAAATAGAGTTTAGATAATGAATTCATTAATATTTTTCCAATTAACTATCGGAAATTGAGATGACATCTCAATCTAAAATATATGATAGGAACTCTTTGTATTTAATTATTCAATTTTTCAATATGCATCAAAATTGAATAAAAGAGGTTCTTTTACATTTTTATATAAAATTTTGGTTTTATTTTGTTATAAATCTAATTTTACACGTATTTTAGAGACACGATTCTCCATTCATTGTGACGATTTGCATGCGAAGAATTTACAAATTTTTTAATCAATCCCAGATCATTATACAATCATCTAGAATAATAACCATATATCAAGAACAAGAAAACGAATTCCAATGGGTTTTTATAACTCAAATAGTTAACTATAATATTGGTTCAAATGCATAGCCTTCAAAAGATGGACTCTTTTGGTTCCATAAATATAAATTTTTATCGGCTCTTAATTTTACTTTTTTCATAAATCAATCTTGTTTTCATTAAATGGAAATATATAAGTTAAATACACTAATCCAACTGGATACTTATTGATATTGGAGATTTCTGTCTAAAGCTTATGGATTAGAAGAAATATACTAATTATCTCATTTCCTTTTTCAATGTATTATAAATAGTAACAAATCTATCATATAATTTATGTGCCTTGAGCTGTTTAGATGATGAAACGTAAGGAGGGGGAAAAGTGCATTAATTTTTGATAGAAAATAGAAAATAATTAACATGTTTAAAAAAAAGATAAAAATAGTTATTAACAAAAAAAATAATAAAAATTAAAACTGAGTTCTCTTCTGGAATCTGTCCATTCTGTTGTTGATACTCAAGAAAGCGACCAAATTAATATTTGCTTCGTGTGATTCGTCAGTAACTTTCTTTATTACATTCACCAGTTTCAGTCTGACTTCTTCATTCACGTCCATCGAATCCCAGACATCGTCAGGCTGAGTTAGAACAGAAGCAAACGAAGTAGTGATCCTAACATCGCACTTAGACCTCGTGTAGTCGTCCTGCAGAATTATGTCGCTGATTTTAGAAATAATTCTGTTCGAATCTTTCCTGACACAGTCGAAAGCGTCAATGATCTCGACGAGAATGTCCCTGATGTTTCTGCCGCGTTCTGAGACGTAGGAAAGATAAGACAAAGCTCCATTCGCTGAAATTCCTCCGAAATTCAGAAATCTCTGGAGTTTTTCAGTTGGAATCTTGTCGACGGCGATTTCGGTGAATCCAATCAATAACTCGCCAACTGCGTCGCAATCTAAGTCATCCATTTGAGAAATAAGAGAATCAATAATTTTATTGTTCATTTCGACGTCTTTGAGGTATCTGATGATGATCTTTATGATGACTGTCTGCGAACAATTGGGAAATGAGGTGACTGTGGCCAAATGGGAGATCGGAAAAATATTTTTGAAATTTTTCATCATGGAAATGAAAAAGAAGTAGATCCTCTTGTTCAGACGCTTTGATTCTTCATCATCCTTCTTGGATGTGCTCAATATCTCTAAACAATAATCAGATAATTTGATTATTGACTCTTTCTCGATTTGAGGGAACTTTGATATCAGAATTGCCATTGATCTGAGATTGCATGACCTGTCTTCGATATCAATGATCTTTTCTACGACGCTTTGGTCGAATTTTGTCTCATCCGAGGTGAAAATACAGGAAATTGCCTTGGAAGCCTCGCATTTCTCCTCTAAGGAACATTCATCGAGTATCCTGATGCACACAGGAAGGAAGATTTCCGCTGAAAAGTTGCATTTGTTCTTGAATAATCGTTTTGCAAGGATCGAAACTGTTAAAAACCAGCCGTGCTGCGATCTCTCGAACTTTTCCTGAAGGTCTGACTGGAAGATTTCGCTAATTTCAACAGAATTATTAAAATTATTTTCCTCATCTTCATTTTCCAACGGAATATTCGTTTGTTCTGCATTATCTTCTTGCTGCTGGTCATCATTAACTGATTCATTCAGCGGTTGATGTAAAAAGAAGTTTTCATATGAGTGATTTATGAAAAATTCTTGAGTAAATTGTTCTGTGTACTTTTGAACGTACTTTTCTGTGAATTCTTTGAACCTCTGAATGTTCTTATGGAACTTTGCGAAGTAAGAAACTGCAATTAACACAGAAAGAACGACTTCATCGGTTTCATCGGCCATGCATGACGCAACAATGTCCTCTGCCCTCTGATCTTTAAGTCCGTATGACAAAATTCCTATTGCTTCGATGGATCTGCACTTTAATGAAGGATCTACGTCGCTGGAGGTCGCCAGAGCCGCTTGTGATATGATAGGGAATATCAGTGAGTTGTACTTCGATATGGAATAGCCAACAGAAAAGACCAAAGAGACACATAAGTGGCGGCATAACGAAATTGGACGAATTAGGACACGAATCCGGTCAATAAGTGTCTGTATCATGTTGGGTGGTAATGGAAAACTGTCGATAATGAAAGATGCCGCGTTTAAAACTCGAGATAGTAACTGTTGATCGACAGCGCCCATTAAATCGTATAATTGTTCAAGAATAGTAACGCGTACTGAGTCATTTATCATGGCAACTTCCTTCATTGCGTCAATTGTGGCTAGTTTTACGTACATTTGAGTACATTGTAAACTTATTATGAGGGAATGGCATACTTTTTGGTTAATAATAAATGGTGCGTGTTCTACTGTCGATGATATTGTAGTTACAAAAGCGTATATGCTTCTTTCTGTTTTTATATCGTAAGATTGAAGAAATTGATTTCCAAATTGTTGTGGAAACTTTATCGATAGGAGCTCCATTGTCTCTGCAATGTAAATAACATCCTCAGTAGGGCATGTTTTCATTGCAGAAAATGTCTTATTAAATATTTTGTTGAAATCCTTCTGTATTTCATCAGGATATGTATTAATAATGGAATTTAAGAGCCAGAATAGCGACAGATTTGTTGGAGGTGATAAGCAAAGAGTAATTGCGGTTTGTAAAACTTCTGGAACTTTTTCTGACTCAATAATTGCGCACAGTGGGACACTGAGCATGTTATTAAGATGATCATCCCCTAGAACGATGGACTTTTCCAGAGAGATGAAGCATTCATTTATTGGTCCGACAAAATCGTTGATGAATTCCGAGCAGTAGGTAATGCGAGCGAGTATGTCTGCTAGTTCAAAAATAAGATGTGCATTCGCACAGTTATATAATGTGAGCATTATCGTATGATGATAAGATTCAAAGTCTTCTGGAGCAAAATACGGCAATATATTTGCTAATATCAGTGATGCAATCCTGATGTTGACTTGATCATGGTCTTGTAGAAGCTGCTGAATAAATTCGTGTAATTCGGTCCATTCGTAAAGGAGATCAGCAGTAAATGACGTTATAATTATATTGCAGACACTGTAATTCTCTAAATTATTGGATAGTGCTACAATCAATAAGTTTCTTTTTGTAAACACTTCTTCAATATTTAAAGAAATAAGAGAATCAAGCTGCAAAGCTGCATAGCCACGTTCTAAATTGGAATCTGAATTTGTTATAATTGAACAAATTTCATCAAATGAAGCGTGTTGCAGTTTTTTTAATTCTTCATTCATTTTATCAAAAATTATGAGGGAGATAAAAAAACTTTGTAAAAAGAAGATAGGGTTTGACACTAAATCTTATCAAATTCATAAAAATTTACTGAAATTATGTGGGGCAAGAGCTTATTAATTTAATATTGAAATCATGGTTTCTCTTATCGTTGGCAAAAATATTTCTAACTGAAAAATACAGTCAACAAGCTATTCGTTACTGAAACCATCCATATACTTATTGTGTAGTTGAAGTAGCCAAAGATATTTTCCGTAAAGCTTTAAATTGCATTCATTTGAATTCGATCTAAGTGATTTTCAGTTACAGACCTTAATTAATTGAGAAAATTCGATATAACGGATGGAAATAATTTATTAAACAACAAATTGGTTTTAACCTAAAAATATGTGAAAGAATAAATAGGTTTTGAAAGGTATCGAAAGCTAGATTGCATATGCATACATTAGCTTGATTAATTAGCGGAGAAAGAGATTTGGCAATGATGTATTATTAAAAAAAATATCAAACAATATTTGCAGGAATATATGCAAACAAGTAAGATATTTAGAAAGTTCCGAACGAAAACAGCAAAAGCTGTCAAAAACAAGAAAATATATAGCATTTGCTAAGATTAGCAACACTTATTTTTCTTATTCTTTGAATTGGAGCCAGAACTATCTGTAAGAGAATTTGAAGAGGCATCTTGCTGGTGCCTAATCTTGTCAGAGTATTCAACTGCCTTGGATGCAGCTATTTCAAAAACGTGATCGATGCCTTCACCTGTTTTGGCAGAACAGATACAGACACTGTCATAGTCTTGGCAGTACTTTTCAACAAAGTGGTCCATTTTTATTTGGAGGTTATCCCTGAGTAAATCGACTTTATTTAAGGCAAGTATTAGTGGAGGGCATTCTGCATTAGATTCGAGGACTAGTGATTGCCAGACATAAGAATCTTCAAATGAAGACTCATCATTAACATCACCTACGATGATGGCACAACTTGCCGCACGAGTATAGAGGGGTACTAGGCTCTTAAACTGCTCTTGTCCTGCAGTATCCCATAAAGAAACAGTTACATCACGATGCATTAGTTTGATTTTCTTAGGTTTGAAATTTGATCCAATAGTTGAAGTCAATGATAGATCAAATTTACCGTCTATCCATTGATTGCATAGTGATGTCTTTCCAACGCCGGAGTTGCCGAGCAAAACAACTTTCACGTCAGTGTTATCGACCATCTTGAAACTTCAAAACAAAATTTAATAAAAACTGGTTTGATTGAAAAAATTGATTTATTGATTTTTTTGAGAGATGTCTGGTCATATGCGGGATTGATTTAAGAGGTCAAAAATACCAATAAGACGGAATATAAATTGTCATTTCCCAAATAAAATGGTCGGGAAAAGTGACAATATTCAAGTCGTAAATAACTTAATGATTAAAACCATGTAATTAGTTGCATTAATATTTTTCGACTGGATTGAATTGCACTCAAATGATGCACTTTTAATTTTTTGAATTTCAATTCAAAAAAAAATTTAATCATGTAAGATTTTTGGAAAAATTTGTTTAATCTCAATGTATTTATGTAAATAAAATATGAATAAAGTTTCGGTTTTGATTCCTTCAAATTGTATTAAAACTTTTCCGCAATAATATGGCGATACATCGTTTACATACCTTATCAAACCCCATAAATTTTTAGCCTGGCCCATCATTTGAGAGATTCAAGCAAAAAGTCATTTGATTGTTTTGTGAAACCCAATATTTTCAATACTTATTCACTCCATAGCCAACTACATGATGTAAAGTATGCAAATTTTCTAAAAACGCATCATTAACCTACAATTTGAGAAGGCCACCAACAATTGTTTTTTCAAAAAAGTAACTACGAACAATTTTCATAAGCAAATCTACTCTAGAGGACATTTTAATAATTATGAGCAGAATAAAATCTCAAACACTGAAATTAGTCATTGTGGAGTGAATTACAATTAGTTTTGAAAGTGACACAATATGATCGGGATTTGAATTAATATAGCCTGATATCTATTAAAGGTTATAAAAAAAAAAAAAAAAAAAAAAAAAAAGGTAGTGGGGCTTCCAGGCACTTCGTGCCCTCTAGCCCCGAAGATGTTTAGTATAAATGAAGTTCTTATATATGGGTCTTCCAGGAGCTTTTCACAAATTATATATGTTTTCATGCTTTGTCACTTTTCTGTCACTTTTCGGGAAAAAACATTTTTATTATTATATATAAATGAATTTTACAAAACCGCCGTTACCGTTCTTTGGAAATAAGAGTAAATGTAAAGATATTATATTGAGAGAACTTAAGAAACTACCGAATGGTCTAACATTTGTAGATTTGTTCGGTGGAAGTTTCTATATATCCCATTTGTGCCATACAATATTCCCAGACTCAAAGATTATATGCAATGACTTCGACAACTATATGGACCGTCTCAAACATATACCAGACACAAACAATATATTGAAAGAGTTAAAAGAAAAGATACCTATAGGTAAGATGGAACGTATACCATTAGATAAGAAAAATACTGTCAGAGAGGTTTTGAAAAAAGCAGAGTATATTGACTGGGATAGTATATCTTCTAGACTATTATATAGTGGTGCTATAAGAGTTCATGACATTGAAACACTTATGTCAAAAGTTTTATATCTTAACTATACAAATGTTTTCAAAGAGGACATAGAAAAATATATTGAGGGTATAGAGTTTGTGAGATGTCATTGGACAGAGTTGTATGAAAAATATAAAGACAAGGAAAATGTTTTCTTTATAGTGGACCCGCCGTTCTATAACACATGGGATTTTCAATACCAAGTAGACTGGACTTTGAGAGACTCTTTAGAAACTTTAGACGTTTTACATAACCATCCATGCTTTTACTTTACATCCGATAAAAGTGGTTTGGAAAGTGTTATGAGATGGTTAGAGGATATACATGAGTATGAGTTTAGATACGATAAGATAGAATATGAGAGAGGTCCTATAAACTGGAGAAAGTGTCATAACAAAGAAATTTTATTGGTAAGTAAATGTGGTTTGAAATAGGACTACTTGTTTTAGGTTTTTTCCATTGTGTCATTTATTTATTTGACGTGGCAGAAAAGTACAGAGAATATGAAGATGAACCAATGCCTGCAAATGTTCAGTATATGTACTCGTAAGAGATATTTTTATCTAATATTAAATGGACGCACAGAACTTAGCGAATGCACAGCAACCTGGACAACCAAACCCAGAGAATATTCCAAATGAAGTTAGAATACAAACTGCAATGGCAAACTATGGTCAAGTGCCAACAGATGTACAAATGCAAACTGCCATGTCAAATGACGCTGCGTTAGGTTTGCCACCATGGTATGCAAATATGAGATGGAAAGAGTTTTATACAAACCCCGAAGTGGGATATAAACAACTTTATGCAGATGACGCGAACACAGGAGTTGACCCAGAATATGTTTTCTACCAGAGGAGAAACAGAATGTATGAGCTCCAGTTAAAGAATGCTATGGAACTCAACAGGAAACGTAAGAGACTAGGCGGACATTAGATTTTACATATAGTAAAATGGGTTTCTTCAGTAAGATAGGAAACTTCTTTCGAAATGTTGGAAGAGGTATATGGAATGGAAAAAAACCGTAGGAAGAGGAATTTGGAACGGAGTCAAAAATATTGGTAAAAGAGTAGGTCAGTTCGTTGGTATTATACCTAAAGACCCTGAACCAGAAGAACAAGCTCCTGTTATACAACAGCCTGAACCTGCACCACAGTCTAGTTGGCAACCAAATCCAACACCTCAACCGTATTAAAAAATTATATTTTTATCGTTCGATAGTAGTTGTATATGAAACTAAGTTCTAAGTAAAACGCATGGTATAATGGAATTATTCTTTTTTTCCATCTGTAGTAAACCATACTTGAAAGTCTGAAATACTTCCACTTGGTGGTTCGTATAACTTTGTAGGTTTTTCGTAAAAGTCATTTGCCAAGCATAAGAAAGAGTTTTGGGCGCCAGAAAATGAAGCATGAACAATAATAGCAGCTGGGTCGAAAACATCTTTAAATAAATATGGTTCATCTCTTGCATATCGACTGTAAATATTTGCTAAAGGAAGTTTGACTTTCTGATTTAACATTCTTTGAAATAATACCATGACATTGCAGTGAATTCTGTATATATTTGTTCGTCTTTCTTTGGATTGTCTTCGTAGATTTGAAATGACACTTGTGAATTTTGTTTGTCATATACAATTCTCACATAAAGTGTGCTCTCGGTATTTGCATATTCATCAGCATATTTTGCATAACATGAATTTATTTTATCTTCTATATTTTTTAACGCAGTCTGTAGAGAAGATGAAAGGTCAACTTGTATTAGCTCAATTTCTTCCCACATTTTTCGTTTCCCTTCAGATATATAATCTATATGAAACCTTACAATAAATGGAAAACTTTTATCTTCTACAGACACAAACTTCATTCTACGAAAGCCAATAGCTTTTGTGACAGATGGGTCTCTTAGCCATCTTAATGGGTAGTCAAAAACGATAGCCTTCATGCTTACGGTCTCTGTCTCAAACTTTTGACGACATTAGTAAAAAGTTCATCTAATGGTTTAGTTGTAGCAACTCTTGAATTTTCTTTTTCTATTGGAAGCATATTTTATCTAGAATAAAAATGTCAAATGAAACAGCGTCTATGAGAGAAATACAACACAACCGACAAACTCATTATGCAAGCTCTAAATAAGAACACAACAAACTTTTCAAACTATTCTAAGATATCTGAGTCATTGAAAGAAGGAAACTTAAAACTGACATTAAACCCAATGACAGATGAGTTTCTGTTTCAAGACAATAAGAACCATACTGTCTGTATAAATCCAACAAAAGGAACTTTAAACGAGAAACCTATAAATGAACTTCTTTTGAAAACGGATGTTGACAACAAAGCTGACAAAGAATATGTCATTGAAAAAGTTCAAGAAGAACATGACAGAGCAGATGCAACATATGCAACGAAAGAACATACTCATCCTGAACTAGCAGACAAAACATATGTTGACAATAAAATGTCAAGTGAAGTGACAAGAGCTGAAAACGAATATTCTAAAAAGACTCATACACATTCTATATCTGAAATAACAGACTTACAAGAAACCTTAAACAGTAAAAGTGCCGTTGGACATACACATACCATTGCAAATATTACAAACTTACAAGAAACCTTAAACAGTAAAAGTGACGTTGGACATACACATACCATTGCAAATATTACAAACTTACAAGAAACCTTAAACAGGAAAAGTGACGTTGGACATACACATACATCTTCTGAAATAACAGACTTAAACGTTAGCCTTGAAAAGAAAGCAGATAAAACATATGTCAATGAAATATACCAAAGTTTGATAGGAACAACGAAAAATATTGAAACTATTGTTTGGTGACTTTTCTGTCAATGAAGAAAACAAATATTTTAGATGGGAGTTTGTACACTCCTTAAAAAATGGTATACGGTATAAACTCATTCCGAAAAATAACAATGAAATGTATGTAGGCTATATAAAGAATGATGGTACACAAGTTAAAGTTCCATTAGACAACAACTGTTACTTAAACTTATATGGAGACGAACAAAAGAAATATTTAAGAGTTTATGAAATGGCAGATATGACATTACCTAACCCAGCTCCAGCACCATATTATTATGACTATGGTGTTGACGCACGTGTAGACCCAAAAAGCAAACATATATATTTAGAATATTATAGATATAAAAGATATAATGCAATAGAAAAAACGAGAATAGTATATTATTATACAGATGACAGAAATAAATATTATAGTCAAGATTTTACCTACCCTGAAAACATAAGATTATATTATAAAAAATATTCTGACACAAACCAGAGAGAAACCTGAAATAGTTACACTATATTTTAAGTTCAAAAGAGACAATCCTATATTATCTCATATTGTTTGATTTAATGAACCCAGTAGTTCTATTTATACATCTATGGAAGCAAGAAGTCCTCAAGTAATGTTTGGTGTTGGTGCATGGGAACAAATAGTCGACAGGTTTTTGTATTGTGCAAACTCTTCAAAGGAAACAGGTGGAAGTAAAACGATTTCAGGTGAAAATTTACCTGCACACAGTCACTACATAGATTTAAGTACATCTCAAGCAGGTTGGCATAAGCATAAATTTTGGGATTGGCACGCCTTGAAAAAAGGTAAAGGATATGATGTTAAAGACGACGTTCAGTTTGCTATAAATTGTTACTGGAGTGACACTCAGGGAGATGGAAACCATACACATCGCGTTTCAGGATATACGCAAACAACGGGACAAAGTAAAGAATACATGCCACCTTACATGACAGTTTACGCATGGTATAGAATTGCTTAGTCGTCATTTTCAACTTCTTTAGCATATTCGTCAGCAGTTGTCTTATATTTGTTAGGAACTGTCTTTGAAAGTATACCACCTTGAACTTTGACAAGTTTGAAACGAGGTCTGACAATAGTAGTTTTATCTTCTGCTTGCAGTGTGTACATTTTGCCATGTTTGCTAAAACTTCATAATATTCTCTTGTATACTTTCTTCTATTTTTACGAACACGAATGTGAGTACCTGTCGGGTTCCTATTGTTGTCATAGTCAATAGTATTTTCATATGGGTCGCGTCTAGGTATTTCTATTTTTACTTTGTCACCTTTCTGAAGTTTGAAGCCCGGCATCTTTCTTGTTTGTCTCTTTTGACTAAATTATTAAATATATAGTCTTTCTCTAAGTCAGGGTTGTTTTTCATTTCTCGGGGAGTGGTTTCCCAAACCTTTTTGTTTACGGCTATTGTAAATATTTAAAACTTGTCTCATCTTTGCCATGGAGAAGTGTCTATATTTGTCGTCATATGACATTTCATTTGCTTCACCACCTTGTGGTTGGTTTAAGTCTCTTAACATTTTTTATACAACCGTCAATGACACCAAGAGCAGAATGGTTTTGGTCGACAATGAAATATTGGTTTACATTTTTTGAACGCAGATAGTTTTTTACATCATCTGATTTGAAAGAACTTTCACAGTCAGATGTCAGTTTTGTTGGATGGTATTTGTCAACGAATATTGTCAAAGCAGTTTTCACATCTAAAATATTTTTGGACCATAATGGTATGGCTTCACAGTATCTTGTGTTTTGACCAACAAATATTAACCAGTATGGTGGTCCATCTTCTCTATACCTCGGAATGTTTTCCAAGATATCCATAAACCAAGCATTGGTGTTGAACTAAAGATTTTTATCATGAGTGCTTTCTTTGTCGCTTTAGAAACATAGGGGTCCTTGTTTGGATTCGTCATTTTTTACCCTATAAGAAATGGGTTTATTTGGCGCATTAGCAGGAGTTGCATCCAGATTTTTTGCCCGCAGTGGGAACAATAGCCAGAGGTGCATTTGGAATTGGAAGGAAGATTTTGAGTACATTAGGTATACTTAAAGAGAAAGCACAACCTATTATACAAACTGTACAGAAAGGTTGGGATGTAGCACGAGATGCAACAAATCTTATTCCAAATCCTGAAACAAGAGGAAAAGTTCAAGGATGGATGGACAATGTAGGAAGACAAGCAGGAAACTATTATAACAAAGCAAATGACTACTATAACCAAGCAGGACACTATATGGACCAAGGTGAAAGATTCTTTAACAGAGGATATAACCATGCACAACAGTGGGTAAACAATAACCAACCGCAACCACCTCAAACTTGGGGAATGTAAAATTTTTTACTGAGATGAAATGAACAATACAGCATTGAGACAAATGGGTTCAAGATGGATTTGTCGGCTTCCAGCAGTTACACCACGTGTTTGTCAAGTTCTTCCTATACCTCAGGAAGTTTTTAGACCGACTTAAAAAACAACAACAACCAGTTGAAAACAAACCAAACTAAAATTTTTTACTGAGATGAAATGACCGAAGAAGTTGAAACGGTAGATTTGACACCACAAAACAAAAAGTTCAAACCATTGTCAAAACCTGTCAAAGAACTTACAGATGAAGAGAAAAATTCAATAATAGAAAGTGCCAGGTCTGGAAATGCAAACCCTAACTATAAAGTCACTTTTCATAGAAATGGAACGGCTAGTATCTCAAAAAAGAAACAGACTCTCACAAATAAAATATTGAAGTCTGAAGGAGCTTTCGAGACAACAGATGGAAAAGTTTACTTCACTGACCAACAGTTCATTATAGAACATCTCATTGACTTAGAGTCGAAATATTCTAAACTTTACAACAAACACAAAAAGTTGAAAGGAAAACAAAAACAAATGGCATATGATATTTATGAAGATGTTGACGACACAACTGTTCCTGCAAGTGAAGTAAAGTCAGAGGAACCGAAAAGTGACGAAAAAACCGATAGAAGAAGAAAAACCAAAAAACTGAAGATAAACCAAAACCAAAGTTTAGTTTGGAAACTAAACCAAGTCAACCTTCATTAGCTGGTATGGGTTGGCGTCAAAGACTTATGGCAGCAGGCGGTTATGTTAAGTAAAGAAAAAAACATTTTTTTATTTTTATAAAAATGCCCCCATATAGAATGGACAGAAGGTCTGCTAGAATAAAAGCAGAGTTGCAAAGATATGGTTGGAGAGTTTCGAAGAATTTTAAATATAGGAAGGGAAGACCCATAAAAGTCTATGACAAACTGGCTGGTCTTCGCTACGAAATGGATTTGGAAACAGCACGTGCAAATTATCCAAACAGACTAGAGAGGTTAGAAGAAGAACGTCTTATGGACATGCCTTTCGATGTTAGTGAACCTCAAGTTGAAGGACACGACGGCTTTGCCAGATTCTACTGGAAACATGACGAACAATTGCATCCTTTGAGAAGGAAAAAAGGTAGTGCAGAGGATGGTCATGCTCCCATGGAAAGAACAAGATATGCATATGAAAAGTATCGTGAAGTTAGAAGTCAAATTACATCTGGTCGAACCTTTACAGTAAACTTTGACGAAGGAAAGAACAAAGAAGGCTTCATGGGTGTACTTGCTGCCATACAAGACGGAAATAAGAAAGGATACAATCTCAGATTGACCATAACAGATTTGGATGGTCACATTTACTATGCAAATGGCAATGAACAAACAGCTGCAAAACTTCTTGACGCTTTCAAGACTACAAAGAGAGAACAAATGTTTGACTCCGACTCAGACATTTTGAATGCAATTGAAGGAATTGCAAGTGTCAAGTTCGAATGGTATGAACCTAACCCTCAAGCAGTCAGACAACATGCTGGATACTTCCCGTTCATAAATAAGTCTGACATTGACTTGACAAGGTATGGAATTTACAATTCAATTGAAACAATTGTCAATGAACCTTGTATTCTTACATGTCTCAGGAACTCTGGTCTTGTTACAGAAGAGAAGATGAAGTATCTTGAGTCATGTGTGAAGACAAGGTACATTCTCAGAGGTCAATTGGCAAAAATTGCACCGTTGGCAAATGTCAATATCCGAGTCAACATACCTACAGCTAAAGGTTCTTCACATGACGACTATGTTGTTGAGTTCAATTTACCATGGTTGAAGATTGTAATTGTCCACAACCACTTCATGTTGAACGAAAGTCTTACAAACCCATTGTTCGGAAAAGGCAAGTGCAACATTGTCAGAGCTGTAAACATTCTTTTCGAGAAAGGTTTGTTGGAACCAATTCCAGATGACAAGCTGACAGAAACTTTTGTACCAAAAGACGAAACAAACTTTTCACTGTTAGCAAGACCAAAAGTTGTTCCAGACAAAGTTCTAGTACAAAAGAAGTACACAATTCCAAAAGGAGTTGGATTGTTCGGATACCAACCTGAACCAGAAGAACTTCCAATGAGGTTGCAAGAACTTCAAGATGCTATAAACAAACTTCCATTGAGACATCCAATTGACGTCAAATTGTATTGGAGAGCTTCTGAGTTAGGTCAGAAGGTTTTATATGAAACAGGTTGCTTCGACGATGTTTATGAGATAACAGGAGAAGTTTCTCAGAAGATAAGAGACTCACTTGAATTTCCACAAACTGGACCAATTGGTTGCGACAAGTTCGACTCAGATGAAAAGATATACTATGTCGACCTTAACGCTGCATACATGAGGTTTGTCCAATATATTCCAACTGGAATTCCAAACGAAGATGGTGAGTTCCCGGGAAGGAACTATACAGTTGGAAAAGTCATACAACAACTGTATGATATTAGGAAAGCTTCAAACCCCAAACTTGCAATGACACTCAAATTGCTTATGAATTCGACATGGGGATATTCCATTAAGAAACCTCAAGAGATGAAGAGTAAACACTATGAGAAGGTCGACAACTTTGTTGAAAGGTTCTCCCCCTTTGTTTTGAAATACGAGTTCACCGAAGGTCAATGTGGCTCAGTAACCACATTAAAACCTATTGTCGAACATTGGTCCTACCCTCAGTTCGCAAAGGCAGTCCTTGACAACTACAACAAATTCTTCTCCGAAGTCAAATCCAAAGTGAAGGTTTACTATGAGAACATTGACGCACTCATGACGAACGAAGAAGGATACAACAAACTCATTGAAATGGGAATGGTCGGTGAAAAGATGGGCTGTTTTAAGCTAGATAAGGTATTTTCTGAAGTTCATGTCCTCTCCAAGCGTAAGTACTGGGGCATACTTGAAGACGGCACAGAAATAAAACATTGCATGAAATAAAACATTGCATGAAGTAAAACATTGCATGAAGTAAAACAATTTATTTTTAAAACAATATATTTTTTTTATTTTATTTGAAATGTACGCTGAGTTTGTTGGAGAAGACCGTTGGGAAACTTGTTTGTTAGATGAGAAATATGAAATTCACTGTTGTGAGTCATTTGAAGTCAGAAACAAAAAGACAAAAAGAGTTTTAAGCGAATGGGAGCGAAATGACGGATATGCTGATATGAAGATGGGTGGAAAACACTATCTTAAACATGTTGTCATTGCAACTCATTTTATACCGAACCCTAACAATTTACCTTTTGTAGACCATATAAACCATATAAGAAACGACAATAGACTTGAAAACTTACGTTGGGTCACTTATTCTGAAAACAATAAGAACAAGGGTAGATTTAGAGATATTATATTCGAATTTGTCGACGAACTAGAAGATGAAACAATTGAAATTACAGACTATGGCAAGCATACGTTTGAGTTTTACTACTATAGCGAAGAACAAGACTCTTTCTACTTTTATACCGGCGTAAACTATAGGAAATTACAAGTATATTTTACTAAGGCGGGCTATGCTTATGTAAACACTATAGATACAGATGGAAAATACGTTCGAATACTTCTTAACAAATTCAAGAAGCTATATGGCATACCATTTTAAAACAATATATTTTTACATATATTAAATGCTTCAGGTTGAAAGAATACGGTGGAGCCAAAAGTGGCTCGACCTCAAAACAAGCATTTTATGAGCTTACAAAGGGTGTTATGAATGAATTCAAAGGTATTTACATACATCCTGACCTCGTTCATTTTGTTGCTAAATTCAGTAAAAATAATGTTTAGGTGAAGAGGTGACATCTCACCCGTTTTCTCACCTCTTTTCTCACCTCATGAATTTTCATGAATTTCATCGTAAATGTTTTGTCGAAACTTCTTCATCGTAAATGTTTTGTCAAGACTTCTTCATCGTAAATGTTTTGTCAAGACTTCTTCATCGTATATGTTTTGTCGAAACTTCATCGTTTATGTTTTGTCGAAACTTCATCGTAATGAGCGTAAATGACCCAAAAATAATGTTTAGGTGAAGAGGTGACATCTCACCTGTTTTCTCACCTCTTTTCTCACCTCATGAATTTTCCCGAAATAAAAAATAAAGTTAGTTTTATTTTTTATTTTATTTATTTTTTTATTTTGTATAAAAGACATGATTTCAACAATCGGCACAACAACAGTTCAAACAACTACAGCACCAAACTCGTTAGTCATGAATCCAACATCTATGTTGGTAGAGATGAAAAACTTCATTCCTTCTTCATATACTTTCGAAACAAAAATCCAGAAGATAAAGCAGGAATTGTTAACAAGTAATTTAGACTGTACCGCACAGGATGAAACAAATGAACAGTATCTTTATGACATGCAGGATATTATTGACCATTTACCCAAATTGCCTGAAATCCAGCAGCAAAAACTCACTATTCCCGAATTTGACGAAATTGAAGTGAAACCAACTGACTCAGTAGAAATAAAGAAGTTCATACGAAAGGTAAATTATGAATTCCTTGGATTTCATTGCAACCATAAGGTTATGGACAAAGATTGCGACATGGTATATAAGAATGTTTCTGACATATATAAATCTGAAGAATTTAAGACCTACGACAACTTTGTTTCGTTAGTTGCAAAATGTGTATGGGAAATAAGAGATAAAGATAGAAGAGGTAAGGTATGGAATGAACAGATAAAACCAGCAGCTTTTGAGTTAAAGAAAACCATTGACGCCTTGGTTGTTTTAGCAGGTAAGGTTTCAGAATATAACGCAAAAATGAATCCGCAATGTTCTAAATGTAAAGCAGCAATGAGGAAATATAACTACTCCGTCAAAGAGATAGAACGTATGCGAAACGACTATGCTGACTTAAAGAGGGAGGCAGAGAAACCAGCAGAAGATAAAATGGACATGTTGACATTTCTAAACAAAAACTATCCAACAGCTGACGATTTCCTTCTTTCAGATGTCAAGAAGAAATATAAAGAAACCTTCGGCATTGTTAAAACATTCGATGTACTGACAGAGGAAATCGAAGCTACGAAATTGTTTAGGATTTCAAATATACATCGTACAATTCATGTAAAACGCTTATAAAATAACTAGGGTGAGAAAAGAGGTGAGAAAACGGGTGAGATGTCACCTCTTCACCTAAACATTATTTTTTGCTGAATTCAGCAACAAAATTCTGAGTAAAATAATTTTTAGGGCATGTGTCAAACCGTTGAGTTTTCACAAAATTTAAAAAATAACTTGGGTGAGAAAAGAGGTGAGAAAACGGGTGAGATGTCACCTCTTCACCTAAACATTATTTTTGTCTGATTTACGCTCATTACGAAGAAGTCTTGACAAAACATTTACGAAGAAGTCTTGACAAAGCATATACGAAGAAGTCTTGACAAAACATTTACGATGAAATCATGAAAATTCAAGAGGTTAGAAAACAGGTGAGAAAACGGGTGAGATGTCACCTCTTCACCTAAACATTATTTTTGTCTGATTTACGCTCATTACGATGAAGTCTTGACAAAACATTTACGAAGAAGTCTTGACAAAACATTTACGAAGAAGTCTTGACAAAACATTTACGATGAAATCATGAAAATTCAAGAGGTTAGAAAACAGGTGAGAAAACGGGTGAGATGTCACCTTCTACCCTAAAATATATTTTTACTGAATTCAGCAACAAAAATCATGAATTTCCTTAAGATAGAAAAAATAAAGTTAGTTTTATTTTTATTTATTTTTTTATTTTGTATGTAAAGACAGATATGTCAACAACAGAGAACACAACAACAGTTATAGTCCATGAAGCTATAAATGAAGAATATGAGTGGGTTCAGTTTAACAAACAACTCCGTCTCATTCGTTCGGTCAAAGACGATATGTACCAAATGCAAAGTATTTTGACAGCATGTTTTGCTCCAGATACTAAGAAACCACAAGACTGGTTTGAATTAAATAGCACTCATGAACTCCTCAGTGAGTTTGAACATGTAGAACTTAAAAAGATGTACCAAGACAGACAAAACTTACCATCACATCTAAAAGGTATATATGTTCATAAGTTCCTAGTTAGTTCAATAGCAATGTGGGCTTCACCTCGTTATGCAATCTACATACTTATGCTACTTGACGAACTTTGTACAAAGCAGAGAGAAGATATGATGAAAGAAGACAAAAACATACAGAAAAGAATACCACGTTCGGTACCAAAAGGAAAGGAAAAGAACTATAAGTATATGATTTATACTGAAGAGATGGAAAATGAAGAAGATAAAGATATGGTTATGTTGCATTTAGTCAGAAGAAACAACAAAAGCTTTTACGACCTTGCTAAGATTTACAAATCTGACAGAAATTGGTTCTATCGCGAAAACTTACCGATTTCAATGACACCTAATGAAGATGTGAAACAAATAGTTCAAGATACGTTACCTCAAACACACTATGATATTAAAGGTTGTACAATTCTTACCTTCAAAGAAGATTTGCCATTGTTAAAGGAAAAAATAACAGAGTATTTTGACAACTTCAAACAAGTAGGGTAGATGAACCATTTATTTTTACGCTTGACTTCAGATGGCTCAGGTAGCTCTAGATGGTAAATTGGCTTGTCAAATCCTTCTGGCATTCCGAGTCCTTCCATCCGACAGGAAAAGTTTTTCCATCCGACAGGAAAAAGTTCTTCCTTCCAACAGGAAAAAATTTTCCATCCGACAAGAAAAAGTTTTTCCATCCGACAAGAAAAAAATTTCCTGACAACTGGAAAAAAATTTCCTGTTGTTCGTCCGTAAACCATTCAAATTTTCGAAAATTGAGAACTTTTTGGTCGAACTTCAGAAAAAAATTTTCCATCCGACAGGAAAAATTTTTCCATCCGACAGGAAAAAAATTTTCCTTCCAACAGGAAAAGTTCTTCCTTCCGACAGGAAGAACTCTTCCTTCCAACAGGACACAAACGGATGACTGACGTACCACCAACCGACAGCCCCAAAGCCAGAAGAACCGACAGCCCCAGCACCACAGCAGACTTACTAAGACTAAACACTTAGATTTTTCAAGCTTGACTTTTTACAATTTGAACTTTGTTTGCGTAGATATGAATTCTGAAAGAAGTATGAGGGTCTTGTATGACTTTGTACTTCTCCCATAGTTCATGTCTGTCAAACTTACCTGCCATGGACTCTTTCATAAGTTCCATGAAATCGTCTTCGGACAATCCGGGGAAAAGTATGATATCAGTAAGTATTCTCTTTACATCCTTACTTAAACTCTTGGCTGTCTGTACACAAATGACAACTGAGATGTTAAAGTGTCTGAGCTTCTTAAGAATTCGACACATATCTTGTTCTCTGTTCTTAAGCAAAGGATGAGAAGCAAAGTCATCTAAGATAAGAAGACACCTATGAGGGTATGTCTTCCAATCGTACGATTGCAATTTCTTCGAAATGTATTCTATCTCTTTCTGTTTGTTTCTGAAGTGTTTCTTCTCTAATATTCTCTGCATTTCCTCATTTGGGTCTTTAAACTTAGAATTTATATACTCATTTATAGCATTGTACTTCAAAACTCTTCTTTGGTACTTCTTTATCCAATCTAACAACTCAGAGTCTTTTATACATACTAACTTAGACTTCTTTATAATATCTTTGAACGAATTGACGGTTTGGTCAAATTGACCAGAAGTACTACAAATGACTACTAACTCATAGAATGGGTTCTTCTCATCTAGTTCTTGTTGTTGTGCAGCCATTTTAAGATAAGTGAAAGTCTTACCCGACCCAGGTGGTGCAATTAGACCTGTTATACCATTCTGAGCAAATAAGAACTTGTCATGTATAGGCTTTATCTGAGCATTTTCTAACTTCCTCTTGTTCTTATTTAAAACATTCTCAAATTTCTTGTCAATGTCAGCAAACTTTTTTTCTAACATATTTTTAGAAAAATTAAAATTTTTATCTTTTAAAATGTCTAGCGATTTCGCTATCTATATTCGAGACAAACTTTTTGACAGCAAAACATCTGTCGACCATAAAATCTTACATAGTGTAAACAAGAAAGGGAATTTGTTCTAAAGTTCTGTTTCTGGGAATATGACAAGAACCATAAAACATTAAGCAGAGAAGTCTTAATTTGTCAATGACAGACTTGTTGACAGAGATGACGCCGATTGGAAAGATGAAGTCCAACAAAAGTTCTTAGAATGCAAAGAAGACACATGCGCTGTTCTTGAAGATGAAATAGAAAACAGAATAGATGAGCTATTAAAGGACAAAGAACTTTTACATAAATATGGTTGCGCCAAATTTGACATAACTCCACCAGAGAAGAAGAAGAAGAGAAAAGAAAGAAAAGAAAGTAGAAGAAGAGAAGAAAGAACCTGAACCAGAGAAAAAGAAATTTGACATGTAAAAATAAAATTTTATTTTTAGAACATTTCTGGGTCAATGTCAATGTTCTCTTCCTCTTTAGGAGCAAACACTGGCTTAGACTCTAAAATCTTTTTACCCAATTTACCTTGAACTTCAACTATCTTAGACTCATAATATTCATAGTCGTCTGCTTTCTTTGGTTCATAAGGTATAACAAGTTTGTATGCTTTGCCTTCTTTAAGGTTTGAGAACCTTCTGTCAAAATTTTCTTTGACTGCTAACAAACCTTCTATGTCTAAGTCTTCAAATTTCGCACCATTTTTAGTCACAATAGCAAACTTAACTGGTTCGATGTTCCAAACTTTGCTGAATGAAGACTTTTCAAAATGGTAGAAGTAAACATTCAAATATGTGAATGGGTCTAGTTCTTCTTTAAGTCCTGACATGTACTTATTTACTGAGATGAATTTTGCCATCTTTTCTATCGGATAAAAAAATATTTTTTTTAAAATTTACTCAGAAAAATTTTTCTTTGTATATACACCTTCTGAACATCTAAAAGACTTTTGACATTTGCCAAGAATGTTCGTTTAGACGCTGTCATATAACCATATTCTTGACAATATTGTTTATACGAATCGTACAATGACCTTTCATCTAATGACACAAAGTCAGTTTCATCTATGAACAGTTCATATACACTCTTGTTTGCTTCTAACAATGTTTGTCTTTCTCTTCGGTATGTGGAATTTGTCTTGGATTGAACTTAGAAATATCTAATGTCATGAAATATGAGAACAAGTGGTTGTAAAAGTCAGATGTCAAAGTTTCTGCTAAGTCGTCAAAATATTCTGTATCTTGCATATGAGAATCTGACGTTCTGACAACTACATATCTTCTGTCAGAACTTTCTAACTTCATCGGAACACATTGTTTGAAACCATAATGAAGTTTGCAACATTTTCACAAACTCTTTGGTCTTTATATTTTCTTTCAACAACTCCAACTTTGTCTGTTATAAGACTCTTCAAAGCATCTGAGTTCAAAACTTTTGTTGTATCTATACTTTGAAGTTCATTGCAAACTATAAGTTTCATATTCTCAATTGAAGAGTTAAATTTACCGCAGATGTTTTCTAAGTTTGTCATATTCGGATTCGAATAACCTTCTAACAGTTTGCACAAAATATCTGTAAAGAATGTGTTCTTACCTGTTCCTTGTTTTCCAATTATAATGAGAGCAGTTTCATTTTTAGCACTTGGATGTTGTAAGATGTTTGCAAACCAACATAAGATATACTCATAAACCTTTTCGTTTCCATTGCATATAATTTCTTTGACATGGTCTAACCAAGCTTCTATAATATTTTCTTTCCATTCTACTTGTTCATATTTATATCCAGTGAAGATAGAATAGAAGTTTGGAGAAGGTGTATAGAACTTTATACCTCGAACTGAAAAATCTTCTAACTTTGACAATAAGATATCCCAAGCATCTAACATCTTCATGCCAACTTGTACGACTTTTATTTTCTTAAGTTTCTGTCTACATTCTTGTTCTGAAACTATCGTCGCTCTTGGTTTGTTAAAGACAACATCCCATTCTTTCATGACATAACATTCTGGGGCAGAGTCAACATAAATGACTAAACGTTTCAAATTCTCGACTGCTTTGTTATAGTCTCTAAATGGACACATATTTCTGAATGCTTGGAAGTCATAAAAATCTGAAACATCTATTCTGTACATTTTTATAAAAATAAAAAAAAATATTTTTTTTATTCTTGACTTTGTTGTTGCATTTGTTGCATTTGTTGTTCTTGAGCTATTTGTTGTTGAAGTTGTTCTTGTAATACAATACTTTCACCAGTTGCATCTTCCAATTCGAAACTTTCTGCCGTCATTGACAAATACATAGGACATAAAAGTTTTACAGGAACAAAGTTTGCGTCAACTAATGTCAACGTTATACTTGCCAAAGTGTTTGAGTTCACTAAGGTTGAAAATTCTGCATTCGAATGAACAATAGGCAAACCAGCAGAGAAAGTATTGTTTATACGCATAAGTATCTTTTGGTCATAATAGTTTCTGTCGACATTCGAATAACACTTTGAACCTAAGTTTGAAACAATATATAAGATTGGTGTGCTTAATGTCAATGGAATAGACATTCCTTGTATGACACCTTTTCCTGTTATAGGAAACTGTTGGTAGTAAAAACCAGATATAAGTTTTGTATTATAGCTCATATCGTTTATAGTAAACTCAGTCGGACATCCAAACATAATGAAACCTGCTCTAGTTGCAGCACATGTTACACCGTCCTTAAAGTATTAAATAAGTCAACAAAACCTGTTGGTGGTATATCTGAGTAAGTATCTTCAAAGGAGTATTTTTTACCATTCACAACAATAAAGTCTTCTGGTGTCAAAAGAGCAAAACAGGCTTTAGTCGTCATTGTGTTTAAGGTTAGTTTACAATATCGTCCTTGAGGACTTTGTAAGTTTGTTGTTATAGAATTATATGACTCAGGGTTTTTAGTCGTAATAGTATAAACCATTATATCTTCTGCCATTTATATATATTTAAAAGTTTTTCTGAAAGTGGAGAAGAACTTCATCTAAACTTTCACATGGCGTTTCTTGAAGTTCTCTGTCTAAGAAGTTCAAATATTTTGTAAAGACATAGAACTTTCCTTTGTCTACACGAACAAACAAAACAGGGTCTTTCATATCGTTCAAAAGTGTGTAAAGTCCTTTACATGAAATAAAGTCTATATTATTTTTCTTCAAACATCTTTCAAGAAGTTTTGACATTTTTACTTAGCAAATAAATTTTAATGAAATGTTGTGGTCGTCAAATATTTTTATGACGTCTGGGAAACTATACTTTAAGTTCAACGTTTCACCTCCTTTCATAACGTATATCTTGTCAATGACATTGTATGAAACACCACAGCAAGCAATGTCAGGGTTCTATTTCTTTGATGTTTATATCGTCTTGCCTCTGTCAAAAAGTTTCAATAGTTCTTTCAAAATTTCATGAGGTGCGATGACATATGAGTTCACTTTTACAGGGTTGTGCTCGAACCAAGTTTAACATTATACCCAAAGCCTGACAAATCTTCTCCTGAGTTTTTAAGTTTGTCTTTAAGTTGTTGGTAGTCGTTTCGAATATCTGCAACAGAACTTAAGTCTCTGCTAACTTCAGGGTATGTTGGTTGTTCTTTTACAGGAACTATTGTTATACCATCTTCGTCTTCGTATGGTTTCCCCACTTCAACATCTCTTCTTTGACATTGACAACAACACTTTGACTGTTTGTTTGAGTTGGTGAATTTAACTTCACATCTGCCATCCGCCATTAAACCTTTTGAAACACTTACGCTTCTATTTTTCGGAAATGACATTTTACTTAGAATAAAAGATGGACGTATTCGAGTATCTCTTCGAATTGAAGCAGAACAAAGTTTTACAACACACAAACAATACATAATACATTGACAGAATAGTTCTTTATACAAACAATGGAAAATGTTATAGAATAGCAGTCTTTTGCTGAACCAAAATATTTTCATAAAGCAAAGAAAGTTGGTATAACCGAAATGGTGAAAGTTCTTGACGTTGACAAAAATATAACAACAAAACTTACAGATATTTCTAAAGGAAAGTTTTTAATACAATACTATGTCAAAACTGGCGTACTGTCAATATTTGACGGAGAGAAGTCAGTTCAAGAACAACTTACTGACCTGCTGCCAAAATCTGCTCGATGGAAGCTGTCGTTATGCCAATCTGAGGAGCCCCAGCAGGTTTCATCGAACGAATCTTCAAAAGAGCATCTTCCGTGAAAAGTGCTATTGGTTTTGTAAACTTCTTTGCTTCAATTCATCTGGACCGTCTCTCTGTCACCAGTATATTGTATTTGAAACTGTACAACAGTTGAAATACCACCCATAAAGTCTTCTGAGTCAGCAAATGGAATGCCAAGCCAAAAGTTTGAACGGTCTCCATTGTATATTGAGTTTTTGACCTCCTGTATGGGTCCATACTTTCACATATGGCATAATAGAACTTTGCATTTCAGGGTTAATGGTTGTTGTGAAGTTGTTGTTAAAGTTCATAGCATCTAATGTCAAGTTGTATGACCTCATATCCTCAACTGTAGAATATTTCTCTTGGATAATATTTGCCATCTATGTTTATATGATATTTAATACCGGGGTTGTAGAAACAAGAATAGTCATTTATAGTTCGTCTGAACAGTACAAACATAGTATCTGCATGTTTCATTGCAGTTGTTAAAGCAATATCTGTTCTTGCACCTGGGTCAGCACTTTGGTTTCCAACTTCACCTGCAAAGTCTTTGACAGATATTTGGTG